TAAGATGATGGATGATCACTAACCTTACTGTGCTAATCATTTCAGGATGTGTATGCGTCAAATCATTATGCTGCACACCTTACAGCTTCAGGTCAGTTCAGTCGCTCAGTCGTGTCCGACTCTCTACGACCCCATGGACTGCAGCACGCCAGGCCTCCCTGTCCATCACTGACTACCAGAACTTGCTCAAACTCATGTCCATTCAGTCAGTGATGCCATCCAACCATCTCATCCTCTGTCACCCACTTCTCCTCCCGCCTTCAATCTTTCCCAGCATCAAGGTCTTCTCTAGTGAGTCAGCTTTTCACAACAGGTGGCCAAAGCACTGGAGTTTCAGCTTCAGCATCAGTCCTTCCAATGAATATTCAGGACTGATTTCCTTTAGGATTGACTGGTTGGAGTCTCCAAGGGACTCTCAAGGGTCTTCTCCAACACCGAAGTTCAAAAGTATCAATTCTTCTGCACTCAGCTTTCTTAACAGTTCAGCTCTCACATCCATACATGACTACTGGAAAAACCATAGCTTTGACTAGATGGACTTTGTTGGCAAAGTAATGTCTCTGCTTTTTAACGTACAGCTTACACAGTACTGTATGTAAATTGTATCTCAATAAAACTGAGAAAAAAATGTTTTTCATAGAATAAAATATGAACCTACTGTGCCATATAAAAGTCGGCTCTGAAGTTACTCACATATGGCAAAGCAATCTACCTCTTAGTTTCCTCTTATTTAAAGTGGGGAAAGTAATGTTCCCCTTATAGTATTAACCAAAGTATTAAATGAGGTGATGAACTGAAGCATAATACCAGGCACACTATATTATATAGTGACAGATACATGTTAACTATAAATACCTTACAAAACTGGAATCAAATTGTATACACTATTGTTTTTAATTCATATGTCATCAAGTTTTACTGTTTTGGAAAGTATATAATTCTAATTAGAATGCAGAAGTCACAAATCCTTTTAGTTTTTAGGTTTTTTTTCTTTTCTTTTTGTTTATTTTGGAAAATACCCCCTAACTTCGGTAGAAGCAGCTGGTTGTTGTTATGGGTTATTTTTTTAAAAGTTTTTATTAAGATATAATTCACCTACCATACACTCTATCCATTTGAAGAGTACAAGTCAAAGGTTTTTAGTATATACACAGATATGTGCAACCTTTCACCACAGTAAATTTCAGAAAAATCTCAATACCTCAAAAAGGTATCATCAGTTCCAATATCCAGACCGAGGCAACCACTATAATCTACTTTCTATCTCTACAGAGTTCCCTGTTCTGGACATTTCATATGAATGGAATAATATGCTGTCTTTTGTGACTAGTGTCTTTCACTTAGTATGATGTTGTCAAGGTTCATCAATGCTATGGCATGTATCAGTAATTCATTCCTTTTTATAGTTCAATAATATTCTATGGTCCAGATATACCACATTTTGTTATTTATCAGCTGTTGAACATTTAACTACTTCTACCTTTTGCCTATTTTGAATACTACTACTATAAACACTGGTGAACAAGTTTTTATGTTTTCATTTCTTCTGGGTATACAGCTTGGAATGGAATTGCTGGGTCATATGGTAACTTCACATTTAACTTTTTGAAGGACTGCCAAGGTGTTTTCCAAAGTGGCTGAACTATTTTATATTATGACCAATAACACAGGTTTCCAATCTCTCCACATCCTCTCCAATACGTATTAACCAACCTTTTTTTCCCCTCAAAAAGACACAAACTCCTGAAACTGACTCAAGAGAAAAAGACAATATGAATAGACCTATAACTAGTGACAAGACTAAATGAGGAACTAAAAAACTACCTGCAAAAAAACCCCAAAGCCCACATGGTTTCAATGCTGAATTCTACCAGAACTTTAAAGAAGAATCAGCAATTATTCATAAACAATTTCAAAAAAACAGGTCACACAGTTTGCAGGCAGCAGGGTCAGGATTTAAACCAGGCAATCGTTCCAGAGTCTTTACTCCTGACCACTGTATTAAACTCTCTGACTAACTGAAAAAACTTGAATATAGTACACCAAAGTTGTTATTTTGTATGATCCATCTTTCCTAGTTTATTTTGGTAATGTGATTTCTCTGGTCTATAGCAAAAAAAGATTGTTCTGAGGACTTGGGAAAAAATCATTTACACAAGTGACTATGTTGCTGTACCTCATTCATATGGCAACAGCAAGCAAGAAAGAAGAAACTGTTAGTTGCTCAGTTGTGTCCAATTCTTTGTGATCCCACGGACTGGGGCCCGCCGGGTTCTTCTGTCCGTGAAATCGAAATTCTCCAGGCACGAATAGTGGAGTGGGTTGCCATTCCCTTCTCCAGGAGATCTTCTCAACAAAGGGATCGAACCTGGGTCTCCCACATTTTAGGCTGCTTCTTTACCGTCTGAGCCGCTAGGGAGGGACCTGCTAAAGCTTCCTACACGTTTTTATTTCAATGACTTCTCACAACAATCCCACAAAATAATAGGCGCTACTCCTCCTCCCATCTCCTGGATGAGGGAACTGAGGCACACGGCAGTCACAGCCGGAAAGCGGTAGGGCCTGGACTTAAACTCGCATCTTCCTGATCCCTGGAGAGCCCACCCTCTAGGGCAGTCTGTCTCATGCCTCATCCCTACAACAGAGCTCTGGGAAGCAGATCCCCAGGCCTGTCACTCCCCGGCGTGGGCTTCTGGCAAACAGGCCAGGAAGGGGTCCTTCATCGCCTGCTGAATGAATAAACAACTATCCCACACTAACTGCTATTAACCCCAAACTAAAGAAATTTATGCCCACTCAAGTACAGTTTAGCAACAAAATGATGACCTGCAGCTTCTCTTACACATTTGGCTGACCTAATGTTATACAGTTACCGTGTTAATAGTTTAAGTCATTAAGCTTAAAATTTCAAAATCATCATGGAAATATAGGGAATATTTTAAATAGGAAGACTGCTTTTGTTCTTCAAATTAATAATGCCTTCCATTATTGTGGAAGTCTCCACAAAATGTACTGTTTTCCATGGGAATCAATAGTTGCACTAAACACATGAAATTCCATTTCCTCATGGAAATAAGGCACCTGACAGAAAATTTCAGAATACATACACAAAACTTATATTATCCTATAAGTTACTATAGGTGAGTACTATAGGTAACTAACCTCTTCCCATCTTAAGGCAGTGATCCATATACTAGTCTCCAAGTCTGTGTCAACCGGAAACTGTATTAAATGCAAAATAACCCTAAATATTTGAAAAGCCAGCAATGATTTTCAAAATAACTTCCTATCACAAACTAATGCAACAAATAAACACAAGTATTTTAACCCTGATATTTTCACAGCTCTGTAGCTCTTTAAAAAATATAATATTGAAAAATCTGTGAAATTTATATGCCTTCATCTTCAGTTAACACTAACCATGATTTGTTGATGGTTAAAGGACATGATTTAATCATGATTTGCTAAAGCTCCAATACTTTGGCCACCTGACATAAAAGCCAACTCATTAGAAAAGACCCTGATGCTGGGAAAGGCTGAAGGCAGGAGGAGAAGGAGGTGACAGAGGATGACATGGTTGGATGGCATCACTGACTCGATGGACATGAGTTTGAGCAATCTCCGAGAATGGGTGATGGACAGGGAAGTCTGGTGTACTGCAGTCCATGGGATTACAAAGAGTCAGACACGACGGAGCGACTGAACTGACCCTGATGACTTGCTGGGTGAAAGGGATGATTATACTGTTGCCTTAAAATTAATGGTTTATCGAAAATCTGAAAAATCTGCTCACCATTTTTACTGATTTAAGCTGGCATGTGTGTACTTAATTTTTATTTTAAAAAATCCTTCCTCTAAACATCCATTCTTCGGTAAACCTGCTTCTTCACTCTAGGAATATGATTAGTGGCTCAAATACAACTCTGAATCCTTCTAATGGCTCCTATTTGCAGCACGAAGCATGGTTTACACGAGGAGCTTTGGAAGAAGTGAAACGCAACAGGGTCAGTGTGCCCTTGGCCGATTACTTCTCTGAGCCTTGCTTTTCTCACCTTCACTTTCAGAGATCGTATCAACCTCAGAAGGGTGCTGAGGACTGAAGCCCTTGTGCAGGGATGGTCCAGAGTGAGACAATCTGGCCCTACCACTTCCCTCCTGGACACCTCGAGCTGCGTGCCCAGAGCAAGGGACTTCTCCGCCCTGTCTTTGCACAGGTTTCTGACTTAAGCACCGCTCAGCACTTGTCAGGTTCCAACCCTGCCTCTTCTTGCAGTGCAAGAGGACCTCCAGGAGTACCCTCCACACATCGAGTTCTGTCTCACCGCTTTACAATTACTCCTTAACGAGACCCCAAGAACACTAAAGGTAAGACTAATGGCTTATTCACCTCCACATTTCTTGTTGTTTAGTTGCTAAGTCGTGTCCGACTCTTTGCGACTCCACGGCCTGTAGCTCACCATGCTCCTCTGTCGATGGCATTTCCCAGGCAAGAATACTGGAGTGGGTTGTCATTTCCTTCCTCAGGGATCGTCCCGACCCAGGGATGAAACCCGAGTCTCCTGCACTGGCAGGCGGATTCATTACCACTGAGCCACTTAGCAAGACGCCCAGGACAGGGAAGAAGGTCAACAGTGACTGTGGACTGCACAGAATCCACTCCCTGCCACACACGGTATTAAGAGTATCAAATGTGCAAGAAACTAAGAGCCTGGGACTTGAAACGATACTTTCACAAGCCTGACAAGCACCAAACTCTGAGGTTTTGTTCAAGGTAAAATCTTTAAAGTCACCTTATCATATGCAGCTAGGCCACCCTATTCATGCAAAGGAAGCTGAGGAGCCGATATTCTTGTGGTTTTAACCCGTCTCCAGTGGCAGCATCCTGCGCTGGGCTGGAGGGCATGCCGACTCCATCGGCAGCATTTAAAGGGCGGCGCACACTGGTGTACTCTGCTGTAAGGGCAAGGCTGCCAGCTGGTGAGCCAGCCACCGTCACTCACCTCAGCCACCTGCCGGGTCCCCACTCTGTGCTGCACCAGCCCCTCCGCATTTGTAGCCATGATGAAGCAAGACCATTAGAGAACCTGTTTGGAAAGATGCAGCGACTTCCATCAGGTGGGCAGAAACCAGCCTCCTTGAAAAACATCAGTAATCAAAATCCTCCTTTGGTACTGTCTGGCGCAGATTTTGTCCTCAGACCACAGGTACCAACACTAACTAGCAGAAACGCTTCAGTTTGGGGACAAGACTCCCCCTGGTAAACACAAAGATGAATCTGGAACCTTATCAGGTCTCTTGGGTTGTAGCAGCCTGGCCCACCTCCTAGGCAGGTGGGAACCACCATCTTTTTGGATGGCCCCGTGTCACAGTGTGCTAAATGCGAAGGTGGCTATCTGAGAAAGCTGTTAAGGTCAACTTCCAGACAGAGCACTAGACTGCTGTCAGCAACTGTGCTTCCATTACCGGTGACCAAGCAAGGAGCAAAGCCCTGCCAGGTGCTAACACACCTCACTCATGAGTTAAAAAGCAAACATTAACAAAAGAAGTAAGGAGACATTACTAAAGCTGGCTAAGAACCTGGTACCCCAAAATTTATCAATTTATATTTTTAAGTCCTCATTAAATTAGAAACACAAATAATTCAGCTTTATGTTACTAGGAAAACTATGCCATCATTTGCCTCAAAATTGAGGGAGATCATCTAAAGACCCAAGGCCGTGCTAGTCCCCTGGGTCAGGAGCACTTGAGCACAGGCGCCCAATGAAACTGAGCCCTGGGCTCTGCGGGTCACGCGACAGCACTCCCCTGAGGGGTCTTTAAGTGTCGGTCACTCAGTCCTGTCCGACTCTTTGCGACTCACGGACTGCAGCCCGCCAGGCTCCTCTATCCGTGGGATTCTCCAGGCCAGAATGCTGGAGTGAATAGCCATCCCCTTCTCCAGGGGACCTCCTGCCCTGCAGGTGGATTCTTTACCTTCCAGGCCATCAAGGAAACCCTGGGTGGTCCCTAAACCCTTTCCAGTAACTCTGCCACAGTGAACCCAGGAGAAAGGGACTCCACTTTGGACCCACTTTCTGGACAAGGCAGACTTCATTAGTGACTGCACAGATCCATAGTTAACAGGAATTTAAAGCTCTTGTGTGACTTATTCTCAGCATTCACACATAAAACCTATATGGTCCCATTAAGTGTGTAGTACACCAAATGCACATACAGTCCACATGCCTGGCCACTCCTCAGTCACTGAATATTCTGCAATGCAACTTTACAGAACACTTTCCTATAGTTCTCACCTAAAGTGTTAAAATTTTTTTTGAGACTTTTTAAAAAGTTTTTATTTATTTTTATTAGTTGGAGGCTAATTACTTTACAATAAAGTGGTTTTTGCCATACATTGACATGAATCAGCCATGGATTTACACGTGTTCCCCACCCCGATCCCCCCTCCCGCCTCCCTCCCCATCCCATCCCTCTGGGTCTTCCCAGTGCACCAGCCCTGAGCACTTGTCTCATGCATCCAACCTGGGCTGGTGATCTGTTTCACCCTTGATAGTATACTTGTTTCAATCCTAAAAAATATAGACTGCTTCACGAATTTGCGTGTCATCCTTGCGCAGGGGCCATGCTAATCTTCTCTGTATCGTTACAATTTTAGTATATGTGCTGCCGAAGCAAGCACCTAAAGTGTCATTTTAAGCACTGATGTCTGTAGAACTTTTTTACTCTGGTAACCTTCTATATTCTATCCACTGTTAGACAGCAGCCACTTCTATTATCACTAATTCCCCTTCAGATTATTTTATTACCAAAACGAGAGAGAGATGGGAGAATGAAACCATGACAGACAAATAAGAGAAGAACGGCCCGGGACGTCAAGGATCACTTGTCCTGTAAGAGCAGGCATCACACTGACCTTGACGGTGACCCCAGGTCACCAGAGTCCGGGAATGACCTTCATAGAACAAGATCAGGTCCAAGTCGAGGGAGGAAGTGTTTCCGATCATTTATTCTTTTAATAAGGAGCCAAGACTTTTAACATTTGTTTACTCCTCTTTGTTTTACAAGAAAAAGCTTTGAGAAACACTCTTGTCTCTTCCCCTACTTAGTCTGGTTCCAACTAATAAGAGACAGAGGAAAAAAGAATGACTTCCTCCGTACCAGAAATCAACTTGACAAGAACATAACTACTGCACGTGAAAAGTCTAGACCTCTAATCTTTTTTCCTTAAAACCATAAATAAGAGCACTCTAAGGAATCAGATGGATAAAGAGAGCAAACAGATACACTACATTAAGAAATAAATCTAAATAGATATACTACATAAGAAATAAATCCAGATATGCAGCTGTGACTGTAAGGCTTTGAGGTGTTACTAAAACACCTTGGCATTTCTGCTGCTGCCAACTGCGTTTTGATGCAAGAAATACATGAACTTGAGTATTAAAAAAATAGTGTTAGGGCAATGTCACTGAGTATTAGAGCAGAGAAATGACAAACTATCAGAAAGGCATACCTTTCTACCAGGTTTCCCTAGAAGAGGTGCTTGAACCTCCAGGATATGAAGTGAAACGGATTTTATAGGCGACTGTCTCATACACAGTAACTCAGAAACCTTTCTGTAGTGACTCACTTGAACACTAAATTTGCAGGACTAATCAACCTCAGATACGGCTCAGGGGGTCCCAAGATACTGCTAATGACTGGTGATTACAGACATTAGGTCTCAGGGAAGTAGCAGTTAGCTGTTAAGTTTAAAAAAGCTAAACCTTCTGCATATTAATCCTTTGTTGATTATATAAATGATAAATATCTTCTACTCTGCAGTTCATCTGCTTACTTTCTTTACGGTGTCTTTCAATGAACGGAAGCTCTTAAGTTTCATAAGGCTGAATTTTTTTCTTTACAGTTTGTACTTATGAAAATTCTGTCATACCCCAAAGTCACAAGCCTAATTTTAAAATGTTTAAGTCTCTCACATTTAAGTGCTCAATCCATCTGCAAATTAACTCTTGAGTCAGAGGTAGACAAAGGGCCCAGCGCATTTTCCTCAAATACAGATAATCAATTTTCAACCCCCTTTATGGAACAATCTAAGCTTTCCCCATTAATCTGCACTGACACTTCGGCCACATCTCGAGCTTCCCTGTGAGGATGTGATTCTAGGTTCTCTGTTCTACTGCCCTGCTGTCCTACCTTCCTCTGTCTACTCCTCATCTGATACTACCCCTTTATAGTTCAGGCTTGCTCTCTGTTGGGGCAAGTGCCCCTCCCCGCACCCCCCCCCCGACCTTGCTCTCCCTTCCACACCAACCTCTTGGTCTATAGCAAACACTCAATACCCAGAGCAACAACCTTTCTTTATATATGGGATTGACCAAAAAGTTCGTTCGAGTTTTTCCCATAAGGTGCTGTGGAAAAACCGGAATAAACTTTTTGGCCACCCCAATACTCGATGTCTTATGATTCTTGATCTGTTAGTTTTCTGCCGTCAAAGGTGCCACAGGCATCACCACCAGCAGCTTAGGAAGCGCTTACAAATGAACATGGAGGAATAGGCCCCTCTGGAGAAGCAAGCGGATACAAAGAGAATACCAGAGAGACTGAAACTATGAAAAGTGCTTTCAACACTGGTTTAAATCCAGTGAGACCAGGTGGGAGAGAGAAATTTTTAAAAATATATTACATTTCATCATATTTGAAAAAACATGCTAAGCTGCAGATCATATCTTATCCTCAGGTATAAACCAAAGCAGACAGAGGCTGCTTCTTGCAGGCATCACAATGTAGTAGGAAATAAGTAAAACAGCATCCTCTAGTGATGTCAGGAAGTGAGGGGGAACCTTTAACTTAAATGCCCTAGAATAAAAAGATAATGTCAGCGGGTCAGGCTCATCTCAGAGCTTGTTTTACTGGCTACCCCAGCCACAGGCGGCCCCTGGGACACAGGGAAGGGTGAAGCCTTGGAAAGGGTATTGGGAGATGGTTATCAATTAGGGGGTGTCTTTCAAGAAACAGCAGCTCTGGGGAACAGTGGGTTATGTCCACATGTAGTTTGAAAAGCCATATTCACTAGTACAACATAATTCTGCACTTGAAATCTGAAAAACAAAACAGAAAAACCCTACTGTTTAGACACCACAAACTAGACAGAGCCCTTGGAGACAGGCTTGCTGGCAGAGCGAAGCAGCGTCATGCAGAAGTAACTGCCGCTTGCCGCGTGCTCAGGGCGCCCCGGCCCTGCAGGCGCCAGCACCGTGGGCAGGACGCTACCACAGCCCTGCTTCAGAAGCGCAAGGCTTCACAGGCTGGCGCTCACCCACTCGGCTTCTAACCCTGAGCACCGCACTCCCTCTCCTAATTAATTAACCAGAGAGCGTAAAACCACGTACCCTGAGTCAAACGACAACAGAACCAACCTACTACAGACCACTTTCCTTTGGTGGTTTTAAACTAAACAAGTTCAACTATCATCCATCCTTTTACAATAATCAGGCAACAAGTTGACTGCTGAGCATGAGTAAGAAGAAGAAGAAGAAATAAAGGAGAAAGCCCTTGTCCTTGAAGAACTTCTGACGGAAACCAGGAAGAGCTGAGCAGGGCCAACGCTACAGTCCGAAGGGGGACGCGGCGACAGTGTCGCGGGAGAGAGGAGCCAAGGCGGCTGGTCCTGAAGGGAGGCAGACGGCGGGGGAACCCCCAGCGAGGACCGGCGGTGACCCGGGGAGACTGCTGGAGGGCCAAGGAAGGAGGGAGGCGGACGCGGAGGACGAGAACCGCCAGAGAGCGGCAGGGAGAGGTGGCGGCTCCTCAGAACAAAGCCTTCCAGGGACAGCGAGGGGGTGGCAGGGAAGGACAGTCTGCGCAAGGCCAGTCACAAAGTGGCGGCGACGAAGACTAGGGACACAGAGCCTGGACCTGAACGGGCGAGGCCTTCCTGTGCCGCACACCGGGACCGCAGGGCACAGCACAGACACACCATCTCAGGCCGCAGGGTGGCAGGAGGAAAACACTACAGCCTGGCCGTACGTGGCAGGAGGTCTTAGAACATAAACTCCTTCAA